CCCCCCCGACAGCCCCTCCCCCCCCCCCCCCCCCCGCAACTATAAAAGTGGACCCTAGGCGCCGCCCCACAAAACCGACACCCCTAAAACCCCGCCCCTTGAAGCTCGCCCCCTTTCAAAGGGGACTCAAAGCCCCGGCTCTCATGAAGCCCTGCCCGTCACCGACCGCTCGGCTGTTATAAAGGGGAACGCTGCCCCCCGCCCCTGCAGGCAGCCCTCCATCCTCTACAAAACGGACCCGTAGGCCCTGCCCCTAGAATTCCTGCCTCCTGATGCATTGATTCCTCCCATAAAGCAAACTCCTAATCCCAAGCCCCTCAAAATGACCCCACCACTAAAAAAGCGGCCCCTTAGGCCCTGCCCCTCAAACACCACCTTATAAAAGGGACATTTTAAGCTCCGCCCCCTCGAGGCCTGGTCTGCAATAATGGGTTCACCCCTGAACTCTTTCCATCGACTTCCCAGATGCACCCACTCATTCCCCCCTGAGCCCCCTGTGGTTGCCCCTGACTGAAATTTCCCCAGAACCAGCCACCCTGGGGGTGCCTCACCCCACAAATCCTCCCCTCACCAGGTGTCCCCCATCCCAATCCCCACAGCCCTCCCACCCCCCCGTAAATCCCCGCACCCAGAGCCTCCTCAGTGGGTGCCTGCCCCCAGTTTCCCTCACTCTGGCAGTAGCATTTGAGGATCAGAGACATTTATTGGGGTCCAGCAGCAGTGAGGGAGGTCCCCAATAGAGTGTGAATCCTAGAGATGTCCCCTTGGGGGTGATGTCCCTCCAGTGAGTAGGTCCTGGGACAATTATAGGTGGGAACCCACAATGATCTGAGGTGTGCTGAAGTCAGGAAGGGGAGCCCCACCCTGGGATGTGTCACTGGGGGAATTTTTGGGGACTCCAGAGGTGGGGGTCCAATGGTGGGGGTACCCCAGGAGAGTTATTGCAGAAGGGGGTCCCAGGTGGGGGATGTCTCAACGTGGGGATCCCTCAGGGTCCCAAATAAGATTAGGGATGTGAAGATGTCAGGAGGAGGGCCCCCAGGGTGGTGGTCCCTGTGGGAGAGTGCCAAGGGTTGAGTCATGGTGTGGAGATCCTGGGGGTGTCCCCCACCAGATGGTCCCCCTCTAGAACCCCTGCAGGTGTTGGGCTCGTTGCAGGTCCTTGGGGAACAAGATGAAGCAGCGGGCAGTGAGCGCAAGTATGTGTTCTCCATCACCTGCACTGTGAAGCCCCTCAGCAACCCCCTTAATATGTAACATAAACCAGGCAATTGAGGACTATACCACTATCATAAAGCCACCCCAGGACACTCCTTCACAGCATCTCCCAGGGGCAGCAACCCCCTAAATACACTCTCAGGGCACAGGGTCCTTTCAAATCCAACCACAGGCAGCTCAAACACCCTGTGCCCCTAGTAGTGGGGAGTGGGCCCCAGTATCAAGTGACCCTCCCCCGATACCCTGACAGACCTCCCACTGGGGGAAGGGGCCCTCTCATAGCACTTCCCGGTAGCCCTCCACAGCCCCAACTACATCCCCTTAGCATCCATAGAGATCCTCCTAGACCCCCCGAATCCCCCAGAGACACCCCCAGAACCCATAGGATCTGCCACAGCCCCTCTGGACACCCCCACCCCACTCCTCCCAGTACCCACAGCCCCCCTCCAAGTGCCCATAGAACCCTCCCTCAACTCCATAGGAGGATCCCCCTTGGATCACCCTTGGCCCCCCTGGCCCTCACCTCCTAAAGCACCAGCAGGGCAATACCAATAGTAAGGGAGCCCCTGGGCAAAGAGCAAGCAAAGTTCCTGTGCCTGTGACAGGGGAAGGTAGAGTGGAATGTTGGGGGACATGGGGAATGTTGGGAGCACAGGGGACATGGAGATGCAGTGACATGCTGGGACACGTGGGGCCATGGAAACATGAGTGGGATATGGGGGAAGCGGAGACATCAGGGGTCATGGAAGGCACAGGAGTGGGAATGATAGGGGGGGCATAGGGGATGTGGAGGGGGGCTGTGGGAGACGTTAGGATATGGGAAGACATGGGGAAGTCCTGGGGAGACCTTGGGGACATGGGAACATCCTGCTTGTTACCCTAGGGACACTGTGGGGACACCCCAGGGACAGGGACACACTGGACGGGGACACCTTGGGGACACCCCACGTAGGGGGACAAGGGCTGACATCTTGGGGATATCCTGGGCATGGAGACTTGGAGGGCACCGCCCTGGGGACATCCACGGTGGGGAAAGGAACACAGTGACACCCTGGGGGCATGGAGAAAACCCTCTAGGGACACCCTAATGTGAGAGGGAGATAGTGCCACCACAGCAGAAGGGGCACAGGGGACATCCAGTCTGGGAGGCATCTGGGGGATGGGTGGACACAAGGACATCAAGAGGCACACAAGGACACTGAGGGAGGACAAGGCCACCACGTGGTGGGGGAAGGGCAAGGACATGGTGGGGCTGGAACAGTGTTGAGGTGGAGCTTTGTGTAGAGGTGGTCCCAGAGGGTTCCAGGGAGTGCTTAGGGGGTCCCAGGGTGGATTTGGGTGGTCCCACTGGTTTCTCAGCGGATGTTTGTGTGTCTCAGGGTGGATTTGGGGGATCCAGAGGGTGGTGAAGAACCCCAAGGGGTCCTGGGGGGTATCTGGTGGATTTGGGGGCATCTAATGGGGGTTGGAAAGTCCCAAGGGGAGTGGAGTTCCCAGTCACACTGGGGTATACTAGGGGGGATTTAGGGGGTCTCAAGGGGGTTGGAGGGTTCCAGAGAATGTTTGTGGGGATTCTGAGGGTAGAATTTGCTGTTCCAGGGTGGACTGGGGGAGGGCAGTCTGGAGGGGTTTGGAGGGTCCAAGGGGTGTTTGGGAGGAGTCCTGGGATGGAGAGGTTTCCAGGTTACATTTGGGGGCTGCCAGAGAGGTCCCAGGGAGTAGAGGGTGTCTGGGGGGGGATCTTATAAGTGAATTTGAGGGCTCAGGATGTCTTTGAGCAGATCTGGAGTATCCCAGGGGTTGTCTGTGAGGATCCCAGGGTTGATTTGGGGGGGGTGCAGGATGGATTTGGGGAGTCTGGGGTGGCGGGGGGGCGGTGCAGTGTCTCAGAGGATGTTGGGGAGTGAGGGGGATTTGGGGTTTCCAGGGTTGATTTGGAGGGACCCTGGGTAGATTTGGGGGACCTGGGAGGATGTGGAGTAGGGTCCTAATGGATGTTGTGGGTACCAAGATGGATTTGAGGGACTCCTGAGGGGCAGTTGGAGGGTACCAAGGCATCCCTGGGGGGTTGGGGAGATTCAAGGGCATCCTGGGGAACACTGGGAGTCCGGGGGTGGATTTTGAAGGGTCCAGATCCAAAGGAGTTCTTTTGGAGGGTTCCCAGAATGGATTTGGGAGTCCCTGGGGAACTCCCCTGGGGAGTTCTTTGAAGATCTGTGTAGTCCCAGGGGAATTTGGAAGTCCCTGGGGGATATTGAGAGAATTCCAGGGTGGGGGGAGTGGGAAAGAAAGGCAGGTGTCATAATCCACCAGTCAGGGGTGCAATGCTCATTGTAAATTTTCAGCAGCCTGAACGAAGACCCCAGACATGTGTCAAGGAGTCAGCCTCATGATGCAGTTCCCACAGACCCAAAGCTCAATGCGTATGAGCCATGTGGAGGAACATTATACAGAGCACACCGTTGTCATTTCCCAGTTCATTGGCAGTGATGGTCTGGAGAGACAGAGGGGCATTGAAGGTGAAGTGGCTCACCTGTTACAGGAGTACAATCTCTTTTCCTCCCTTGTACTGGCTGTGAATAAACTGTCCTGGGAGTTCCAGCAATTCAGCATCCCAGCATTCCAGAGGAATGTCCTGCCCCCACCCATATAGACCAGACTCTCAGCTATCAGCAGGCATTCCTTCTTCCTCAAGGTAGGCTGGAGAAAGTGCAAACTATTCTGACACCAGCAACCATCCCTTGCGCCTGAACAGCTGAGCTGCTTGCCCCAGCACCTCTAAGAGCTGGGCCATGAACCAACAGTCATTACCTGTGCCTGGAAAAGCAGTCCATCTCCCACAGAGCACTAGGGAACTGGCCCGTCCTAGCCCTAGGTAGGCACCTAACACGTCTGCCTCCACCCCTCAACCAGATGTGCCCTGCAGGACCAGCTCAGAGCCCTTCAGTCCCCTTGTTTTGATGCATCACCAAAAGGCCCACACCCGCCCCGCCCCCCCCCCCCCCCCCCTCTACTCTGCAGTCCAGGGGCACCCGACCTTGGTGGCTCCCGGAGAGGGTGGGGGGGTATGGGGCAGAAGCTGCTGCAAGCTTCATCTTCCCCTTGGACCCTGCGGGCTGCACTGCCAGCACTGTGGGGCCACCTCACTGACACGAGGGTCTCATCCCAGGCAAAGACCACATGTGGGTTGTGGTGGCACAGCTCCAAGCACAGGGGATGGGAGTTTAGCATCCTTCAGGTACTGCAGGTACAATGCAAAACGGGGCAAGGGGCCAGACCTTGCCTTGCTGGACCCACAGGGTCCTAGAGCTTTCTTCCATCCAGGCGCCTTTAAACTGGAACCCCTGGAATCACCCTGGAGCTGGGCACCCAGCCTTGAACTGGGCATACCAATCACTCCATTCCCAACTGGAACTGCGGCAAACCCAGAATTTTAAGAGCTGGCACCCCCAAGCTGGGACAGCACCCCCCAACAGGGACCACTGGGATATCTGTAAGAACCACCTTCAAACTAAGAAACAACTGGGATCCTCATCTTCCCAGGACAGCCCACACCAGCTCTGCCTGGTGTCACCTGTTGAAACAGACCCACAA